GTATTAAGTGAGATCCCTTTATGCGACATGAATAACAGCACTCATTTACAAGTCCCTAACGTGAATTTCATTACCCGAAATGGCTACAGCTACCGAGGAATTGAGGTAAGCCTTACAACCTAAACACAATTAAACGTTTTCTATCGTTGAAACCTCACGTGACACGACTGACTGGTTTACCACAGAAATGTAAACAGAAAAAAAAGGTAGTTATGTTTTGGCATGATTACTTGAAATCTCTAATTAGGCAATTTTAAATCAGTAGGACGCGGTGAGGCATACAACAGACCTCGTTCGTGGCGAAATCAATTTCCCAAATGTTAGAGATCAGGTTTAGCGCTTTTTGTAAAAAATAACTCTGATGACCTCTTTTTAATATTACCATGATGAGATTGATGATAATAATAATAACGATGGTGATTTGTCAAGAAGCATACGTGCTTTCAGCATACAAAAAAAGAAAGGCATTGTTTCCTTTTTTTCATTTTTTTTCATCACAGAATCCTTGTGGAAGCAGCCCATGTCAGAAAAATTCTACTTGTCAAGCTGGGTTTACTTCAAAAGGATACCGTTGTGTATGTCCACAAGGACTCGGGGGAGAGAATTGTGACCAAGGTATTTTAAGCTTATTCGTCAAGTAATGCAAATATTCCTGCCTTTTAATGCTTCTTGGTATTCTTGTATTTCTGCTCAAGAAAATTTCCGAAATTCTCTAAAGTCATTGACTGCATGTTTAAATGTGTTAGTTGTGTATAACGGGAAACCTCATTCTCACTTCTCAGCAAGTATTTGTTTATATCAATAATCACCTTAGTTTTCGATGGCCAATCCGTTTCGTGGCTGGCTTGGGCAATCGCTAACCTCACCTCTAACACAAATCGTCGAATTACGATTTAGAGAACAAGAGTTATTATGTTACGACTTGTAGTGAGGGACTCATTCGTGCCAGCCTATTGAAATCATAAATAAAAGCTTTACACAAAAAGTATTCGATTTTGAGGTTTTGTAAAGTGAGAATACAGGGATCAGACCAGTACAACAGAGAGACCTACAGATCACTGCATCGTGTTCAAGGACTCGTATAAGCACCTTTTCTACTTTTAATTTTTCCAGTCATTCTGACTCAGAACTGTTCTCAAGCCCCAAAGGAAACAGGAGTCTACAGAATTTCTAATCATAGATCAGACTCGTTCCCAGTGTACTGCGACCAGACAAGTGATGGAGGTGGTACGTCAAACTAAATAGGAGGATCTCGATAGGAGATGAACTTTGTTCGTTTTTCTCACGATAGAGTCACTTTTGATGTAGATCGCGGCGTTTCGACTGCTATACGGTTCGTATATATGCCTTGTTGTTGTAGGCAGCGGCGAATACTACTGATACACCCTTTATGTAAGCGAGAATGTCAGTAGATTTAAATTCCTGAGCGGCCTTTGTTGGCTGTTACCCTTGTTGTCTTTGCGAGTCTTCATAAAAAATGAAGAAAGATAACCATTAGAAACAAGTACTGATGACAAGTTTTTTTTCCTCAGAGATAACTGACGGTGTCATTGTGAGGTGTTTGGCTCGGTCTTATAGACACTTAACAAAACCACGCTTTACTGACTGAGGGTGGTGTGAATCATAGGTTAGGTACTGGACAGTGTGGGTGGGCTTTCTGTAGACAGTAGTAGTGAGAAGACCGTCTGTTTCCCTTGTAACTGTTGTGTCGAGAAAAGGACTGGTGTTATCTTTCTCGATTTCCGTGGTAAAACGAATAGTAGGCTGTTGACTGTTTAGATGTTGTAAAAAAGCCATCGATATTGTCCCGGTCTAAGACTGTGAAAGTGTCATCTACATATCGTTTCCAGATCTT